TCTAACGCCCCTTGCAGAGGCTTCATCTCCTGTGAGGCTGAGATGGAGACAGACACTTCAGAATCCCCGTACAATGCTCTTTCTTTAAAAGGAGAAAGGACATCTATCGTCTTTACAGGGAACCCCCCTTTATCATATTAATGTAATTATAACTGCAGAGACTAAGCCTGTCAAGCAGGGTATTCTGGTCTGAAATAGAGTACAATCTCAGTGAAAACACCAACCAACTGAAACGCGTAACAGGCTTTTATCTCAAGCACCACCCTAGCACTGCCCCCTGGGGGTGACGGAGAGCACTCCTAAACGTCCTATCTGAAAATGTAAAAGGCAGAACCTTTCCGTCTTTCCCTTGCTTAACGTGAGTCTGTGCGTTCTGTGAGTTTGCGTAGGGTCTCTTGACAGAAGTTTTCGCGGCACACTGCTGATCCAGATTTTTAGGTGCTGGGCGGCTCAGGAAGCCCTTGTGTCCAGTGACTCCGTGGTACTTGTTTCGTGGACAGCCTTCCTGCTGAGCCTCAGACTGGACAAACTTGAGCAGCTCTATTTTCGTGTCATGGGTTCCTTGGGCCAAACCAAAGTCCACCAAGGCATACCTAAGAAGCAAAATTAAGTATTGTCACCCTGCTATAGCGACTTAATTGGTAACACTGTAATGCTCTCAAACCACATTCAGAAACTAATTGACTCCAGAACAATTAATGTATAATAGGGGATGGGGGGGCCAGAGAGATGGCTCATCGGTTAGGAGCACTGACTGCTCTTCCAGAGGTCCTGAGTTCAATTCCCAGCACCCACATGGCAGCTCAAACTGTCTATAACTCCAGTTCCAGAGGATCTGACACCTTCACACCAACGCACATAAAATAAAGTTAAATAAATTAGTAAAAAAGAAGAATTTATAATAGTCAAAAGCAAAAAACAAAACGAAAGAAAGAAAGAAAAATTCTCAAGGACTTCATAGCTAAGACTGAAAATCAGAGAAAGATGAATCCTTAAAGTGAGCAGTCAGTTACGCACTCTCTCTCCACTTAGGGCCTGCAGAGACAAGGCAGAGGAGCGATGAGCAAGAGACAAAAAGCAGAATCCTTGGCCGTTCAGTATGAAAAAAGGGCATTACAATGGGTACTTTCTAATCAAACAAGTATAAAGAAATTACAGAAAACACAAGGGCTACAGGATTAGTCTGAATTTCCTTATTGTACTAAGTATAACATATAATATAAGTACTGTTTTCAGCTTGTAACATCTCTTCCATATTTAATCAACAAAGTACACATATAACAACTTTGGTCTTAAAATGGAAAGCTGACTGTGTTGTCCAGTGTCCTATTGACTAAAACGGGAAACAAGGGCTCTAAGGTCAGAATGGGCCAGATTCTAAGTTCTCCCACCTAAGTGCACATCTCACGATGTACATTGTTATTAACATCATTTCATCTTCCTCACTGCATTCTCTCTCTCCAATCACAATAAAAACCTGAACAGAAACCACGTGAACACTGTGGTTGTTTACACGTATGTCTAAGAGAGGACTCCACAGCGCAAACTCAACTGTGTTTCCCAGGATTCTTCCCACTTACTTTTTCAGGCGTCTATTGTATAAAAAATTGCTGGGCTTCACATCACGATGAACAATACCAAACTGATGAATCCGTTTCAAAGCTATGAAGAGATTAAACATATACTCTCGTACTTCTTGAAAGGAAAGAGAATTCAAAATGTCCTAAAATAAAGTTATGAATGAAGTCACAAAACTATTCAACTAAACATTTAGCTAATTAAAGTTACCAAACTGTGAAAACCTACCAAAAACGACTCATGTTCCAGATATGGCATGGCAATAACCACATGATCGTTTTTCCTGAAGCAGTACTTGACTCCCATGACGTTGTCCTGCCCCCTGGTGGGAAACGCACAGTGAACTTCAGAGGGAGGTCAGACGCACCGTAACTTTATGCCTTAAGAACTGAATTATCTTAGCAATGCACATGTACTTACTACTAGAAAATGCAAAATCACATTAGTGAATATAAGCATCTAACTGACATATGAAAGAAAACTTTCGAACAAAAACAGCACCAGTTACAAGGTTACTTTAACAACCCAAACATGAGATATCTGCAGTTTTAACTGGGGAAGTGGCAGATAACAAGGCTAATTGGCAGATAAAATATTACCTGCAGTAGGTTTTAAAAATAAATAGCCGGTGGCGGTAGCACACACCTTTAATCCCAGCACCCGGGAGGCAGAGGCAGGCAGATCTTTGTGAGTTCGAGGCCAGCTGGGTCTACAGAGTGAGATCCAGTACAGCCAGGGCTACATAGAGAAACCCTGTCTCAAAAAACCGAGGAAAAAAAAAAGTAACATTCATTGACCATCATTATAATCTGCCAAAGCTCTGAGTCCTAATGGGATGCGTCCATCAACCTCTCCTGTCTTTAGGAGCCAGAGGGATGGGCGACTCCAAAGCAGCAGTGCCTCTCACAGTGACTGAGGCATGTATAAACTCACAAGGCCTTCACAGGTTCAAGCCAGATGGGTCCCAGAGCTGTGGGGGAAGAGGGGCAAGTTGTAGCTCCCAACCCTAACCAAAGAGCTATCAGCAACTGACACCCCCTTGCAAAGGAAAAATTAGTTTCCATAGAAAGTAGATGCCAGCAGAACCTCACTAGATATATCAACCACACTTCAAGCAGCCCCCACGCCCAGCAGGAGATGGCTAACACAAAAGAAACTCAATGCACTTTTATAGACATTTTGTCTCATATTGTTTTGTTTGGGCTTTTTTTTGTCTTACTAGCCTTTTGCCTAAATATTTTGGTTTCTATATATTATGGTTTCTATATATTATGGTTTCTGACCTCGTGTCTTTGTGGGTTTAGTTTGGCTACGTGTGTGCGTGTTTCCCATGATTTTTCTGTTCTTTTTCATTCACTCATTCAGAGATCCTCCTGCTCTGCCGCCCAACTCCTGAGATTAAAGGTGTGCACTACCACCCCTGGCCTTAGTCTGTTCTTTGGTTTGTTTGCCTGTTTGTTTGCTTTCTATAGAGAAAAGGTGTGGAGTTGGGGGGATGGGAAGGTCCTCGAAGGAACTGGGGGAAAAGGAAACCATGATCAGAATATATTGTATGAAAAATTTCTCAGTTAAAAAACAACCCCCGACTCCAAAAACCCAAAACCTCAGTCTCACGACACCCTCATGGAAAAAGTCATCCTCCACCCTGTTTTACAAGTGAGGAAACGAGGCAAGAACTCCCCCAAAGTTCTGAAAGGAGTTAAGTAAGGAAGGTGTGATCAGATCCAGGCAGTTTCCGCTAGAGATGTACTCCTACTCACTACTCCAGACTTGTCTGTAAAAGATGGGGAGGTCAATGTAGTCACCAACAGAGCGGAAAACCAGAGAAGGAAGCATCCTAAGCCAAGCTGACCACACATTAACCACCACACCTTTCAAGGTGGGAAGCCAAGAAAGGCACTGAGGACGCACTTGCAGAAAAGATACCTTTCTTTGGCTCTCACACTATAGTTCAGTCTGGACAAAAAACTCATGGAGATAACTTCTGCCTTGGCATTGTTGAGATCATAGGCATGCCAGATTTGGGTGATGCCAGTGTAGGAGTGAAATGAAGACAATGAGGATGAGGATGGTATCTACGGGCTAGTTTGAGCAACTGAGGAGACAGATGTAGTGCCATTTACACACAGGCAGATGAGAAATTTGCTGGACTGGTTATTCTGGCTAGGCAAGACAGGTTAAAATTTAGGGATGTATCTACACATCTGGGTATGGGTGCAATACACAGAAAGACAAAAATTATCACATTAAGCCGGGCGGTGGTGGCGCACTCGGGAGGCAGAGCCAGGCGGATCTCTGTGAGTTCGAGGCCAGCCTGGGCTACCAAGTGAGATCCAGGAAAGGCGCAAAGC